TCCTCCGGGGTTCTTTGTCATGAAAGTATCTTATTTCTGGATCAGTTTTGAAAGATAGTTTTGCAGGGTCTGTCAATGGAGGTAGATTGTTTTCTTTTAGGGCTTAAAATACTTCCAGCTCTTCTTGACTTGAGTTTTTCCGTTGAGGAGTCTGCTATGATTGTCATGGGCTTTCCTTTACATATGATTTGTTTCTTTTCTCTAACAGTTAATACTGTATTCTTGTGTTGAATTTCTGGAATCTTCACTATTGTATGCCTTGGTGTAGGGTTTTTTTGATCATAGATAATCAACATTCTATACTCTCACTTATCTGTATGTCAGATTTTTTTTCATGCTTGGGAGTTTTCTGTCATTACTTTTTAGGTATTTTATGTCATTTGTGCCATCTCCTGCTTTTTCATTGATTCTGATCCATCTTATATCATTCACCTTTGCATCACCTACTAGCTGTTGGATTGATTTTTTGTGGTCCCTTGCTAATTTTAAGAAATCTTTCTTTTCATGATCATTAACTGCAATCCTGTCTTCTAGATCTGATATTCTGTCCTCCCATGGGCTCATTCTGCTGCATATACTTTCAGTGGAATTTTTAATCTAGGCATCTGAGTGTGAACTGGAAGTCTGGGGCTACATCTTACTTAAGTGTCTTCTGATTTTCTACTTTTTTTTTTAAGGTTAACTCCTGTGTTAGTCTTATAAATTGCTTATGGCAAGTAGCTTTATTGCTAGTATTTAGCACCTTTAATGACTGCTTCTCAGAGATGCCTTCCAGGTGTAGCTGGCTTTTGAGTCTGTTGTAAGATCCTACCCCTTCAATTTACTGGATGTGAGAAATTGCCCCTGATTTTTTGGCACAGACCCATGGTATTGTTTGTGACCCTTAGGCAGTCTCAGGCTTGGCATGCTATGAAGACCAGCTCATTAGAACAGGTATGTTGCCTTGGCTAAAGCAGCACAATCAGCAACAACAGTAGCATCAAATGCAGCCCAGCAAATGACACACTGTGGTAACTATTAGTCTGCCACTTTTAAATGCATGAGCTAGATGTGTGGTTGTGTGACAAAATCTAAAATAGCCCAGAACGTTGTATACAGTAGACATGCCCTCAGCATGGTGATTCTACCCTCAGGGAGGAAACTGAAGAGGTTGGGGGGAAAAAGAGAAACAGAAGAAGGGGAAGAGATTAGAAGCAGAGCTGTAGGACAAAGGAAGGTTCCATGAACTTTGGGAAACTGGTAAAGACGACAGGAGCGAAAGAGGCAAGGAAGAAGTACAAGCCAGAACAGAACAACAGAAAAATGAGAAGCAACATTCACACTCATATAAAAACAAAAACCATCAAGAAAAAAGGAAACAAAACAAGGAAAGAGATTGTTATGGTTGATATGTTGTGTCAGTTTGGGGAGTCTGGAGGCTTGGCTAAGTGACTCAGCAGTTCTGCATCTTGGGGTGAAAAGGACACGCCCTTAGCCTTCTGGGGTGTTGTTCACTGTGTCAATTTGAGAAGTTTAGAAGGTTAACTGTGTGACTCAGCAGGGAGCCAGGGTGCTTTCTTTGTATTCATCCTGAGCCTGTGCAAGAGGAGGGCATGGAGATTATGTGAGTGCTACACGCCCCCTGGGTGGGGGCAGCCTGCTTACAACATAGGGGAGGGAAGGAGGCTTGTTCTCGCCCCCTTTTGCTCTGGTTGCTTTTGCTGTTTTCTGCTGCCGTGAACTGTTGCCCTCTGCCATGTGCCTCTGTGCCTCAGAGCCAGCCAAGTATGGACTGAAACCTCCACAAACTTTAAGCTAAATAAACCTTTCCTTTCTTCATTTTGGGTGTTGGGTATTTTGTCTCAGCAATGAGAGAAAAGTAACCAAGACAGGGATAAAAAGAATGAAAAGGAAGAAAGAAGATTTAAAAATGTCCGCTTGAAAGAGTATCTCTGCTAGTAACAGTAGACAAAGTTAGTAGAGTCCAGATTTGTGTTAATCCCGGCAAACTACCTGTAGACTCATGGCAGGATAGTGGATAATCCCAGGAACACTGCACCTTTAGGTTCACTGAAGTTAGGCTGGTTTCTGGCAGGAGCCTGGAACCCAGTTTGTTCTTCCTGCAGCACTCCCTGTGCCTCCTGTGGCCTTGAACTCAGCTCCTTGGCCTCCTGCCAACTTGACCTCACTCCTGCCCAGCACTGACACTAGCAGCTTGTAGATGGAGCCAGCCCACAGCTGCTCTGAGCTCCAGCGTGGATACTGGCCAGTTGTCCTCTCCTGCGGGGCGGGGAAATGTCTGGACCCGAGTAACTCCGCAGCCCCTGCAGTCTTCGTATCCACGGCCCTGTTACAGGGGTGCGTGTCCTGGGGCGCCCTCTGCAGTGGCCGGTGGGCCCCATGGACCTGCCGGTGTTAGCCGCCCCTGCGGCAGTGAGTCGGACTCAAGGGGAAGGCCTGCTTGCCACTTCCTGTTTCCCTGGGGTCTTCTTCCCTCTCCCGATGGCTTCGCTTTCCACTTCAGGTTCTTGCTGGGCCCCAGGGACCCCTTCCCTCCTCCTTCTCCTCCTTATGTTGCTGCCTTCCGGCATCTGGACCCCAAATCTCCTTTGTGCCTTCTAAAATAAAGCTAGTACTGAATATTCTGTTGAAAAAACTGCTTCTACAAATTGTGATTGCTTGTTACTTCTGTATAATTCTGAAACTGTTTCTCCAAAGATCATTTATTCCTTCAGCACAGATAGTTTTCTTTGTTTTCTAAAACAATTCAAATGACTGAAAAGGAAACAGGGAAAAAATTAATTTTGAAATCTTATCATTCATCTGCTTGTTTAAAGAAACTTCTAGCAATTCCCAGAACAAAATCATTTCTTTTTATTACCTTTACTGTTGTCTTTGAATTTTTGATTACACTTACAAACAGTTATAGTTAGCATCTTTATAGCTTGACGGGTTTTTTCTTGTTTGCTTCTTGTCAAGATGTATTTTCATTTTTATATAGACTACTTCTCCTTTTCCTCTTTTGCCTCTTCATTCCTTTCTGGTTTTCCAAAAATGAAAGACTTCTTAAAGTAGTGATGTAAATAAAATTCTCAGAATATATTATAAAAAATAATAATGATAAGAAGTTTGAGTGAGAGCAAGTTTTCTGGAATACAGATATAGAACTTTTTTTATATTGTCTTTGTTAGTATTCTTTAACTTGTAATTTGATTATAAGGAACTGATCTGAATTTTGGATATTAATCATAGTTTGGTTTGTAATTTTGAAAACTGGAAACCGTCCATATTTGGGGAGGGACTAAGTAAATTATAGAGAGCCTTGCAGTGTTAAAGTTCGTACATTATGTGTGTGGGGAGTTTGTTTTTTCCCCTTTTTTTATATTGGGAATCAAGTTCAGGATCTCGTCCTTACCAGGCAGGCACTGTGCCACTGAGCTGTATCTCCAGCCCTGCTTTTGCTTTTTGAAACAGGGTCTCTTAGGGGCCAGGGATATAGCTCAGCGGCACAAGTGCCTGCCTGGCAAGCGCAAGGTCCTGAGTTCGATTCCCGGTACAAAAAAAAAAAAAACTGAAACAGGGTCTCGCTCTGTAATTAAGGCTTGTCTTTTTTTTCTTTTTTATCTTTTTTTTTTTTTTTAAGACTTAAACTTACTGTGTAGCCCAGGCTAGCCTCAAACTCATGGTGATCTTCCTGCCTCACCCTCCCAAGTGCTGAGATTACATATATGCACCATCATGCCTGGGGACATTATGTATTTTTTAAAATGTGGTTTTTTTTTAACCGTTATGTTAGGTGAAGTAAGCCTATCTCAGAAAGTTAAAATATTGCATTTTTTTTATGGCCGGTCTAAAAAGACAAAATAAATGAGAGATGAAAGGAAACTAGAAGGTAGACATTTAGAGATGTGGAACAGGATAAGGGGAGGAGGGAGAAAGAGTGGGGACTCGTGGGCATGAGAAATAGTCAAATTATGTTATGTGCATGTGCCACCGTGCCAAGAAGAATCTCAGTCTGTATTATTAATACGTACAAGGAAAAGTTTTGTTTAAAAAGAAGTGTTTAAATGATAAGAGGAGATACGGATCTCAAGGGAATAAAAGCATGATTAAATTGTATAAATGGCTTGCTTTTCATTTATTAAAGGTAAATATGTATGTTGGGTATACATGTGCAGTGTCAGTGTATGTATGTAAATGACTGGAAAGGAATATTCCTAAATATTTAAGAAGGACTTCCTGTGTGGGATCATGTGTTATCTGTGATTTCCTTTGTGCCCTTGAAAGCGTGAATAGCCAGGCCTGACTGTGACTGTAATCACAGCACTTGGGAAGCTCAGGCAGAGGGATGACGTTTGAGGCCAGCCTCGGCTGTATAGCCGGTTTCAGGCTACCTCTGGGCTACCTGGTAAGACCCTGTCTCAAAAAACCACACGCACGCAAGTGCGCACACACACGCGGTAGAATTGCTTTTGTTGACCTTACTTTCTCCGAATGAGACCTGTTGCTTAAAATAGTGGCCCCTTTTGAGAGAGGGGACTTTGATCACTATTAAAAAGAACCTGTGGTGGTTCTTTCTTTCTGATGTTTTGTTTGGTATCTGTTCTTCTCTAACAGGCACAGGTCCAGTACCAACAGCAGCATGAGCAACAGAAAAAAGATTTAGAGACCCTCCATCAGCAAAACATTCACCAGCTGCAGAGCAGACTGTCTGAGTTAGAAGCAGCTAATAAAGACCTCACTGAGAGGAGATACAAAGGAGACTCCGCTACTAGAGAACTGAAAGCAAAGCTCTCTGGTGTTGAAGAGGTACTGATCGTTGGTTCCGGTCACTTTATTTTCATTTGGTTATTTGTGTGGGCGGTGGTCCTCTGGTTTTTCTGCAGGGATCTCTTCGGGTGTTAATGATAAGTTCATACAATGCCAAACATACTGAGAACCTGAAATTTGATAAAGAGATAATTCAAAGTAGGACCAGAGTAAGGCCTGCTGCTTTCAGTTAGGGACTTGGGGAGCAGTGTGCTGGCCGGATCTCACATGTTCCCGTTGGGTTAGTGTCTGTGTCGCAGAGGGTACTCACCGTGGACGGGGCTGGTCCTTTCCTTTAGCCTAGGCAATATATCAAGCAAGTACGTGAAGCAGCAGTAGTGAGAAGAGTGAAGGTAGTAGCTGTGAGTACTGGGTGTTTGCTATATGGTAGGCACTACTTAAGTACTTCATGTATTAATTCTTACAGTTCTTTAAGGCGTGTGCCATTATTCTCATTTTACACATGACCAAGCATGATATGGGTGACTGACTTAATCCTCTGTGCCTGTTTCATGTGTCGTCCACCTATTTTTTTGCCTATTTTTTGGCTTTTTTTCCTATTTTGCCTATTTTTGATACTACCGTGTTCTTCCAAGCACCAAAAAGGTGCTTGTTTTTTGAGATGCTAAGAGTTAAACCCAGGGCTTTGTGCGTGCTAGACAAGCCGTCTACCACCGAGCCACACTGCCCAGGCCACGGAGTCTGAGAATCTTGCCCCTGTGCGTATTCACTGACGATTATCTTCTACCTAGAGTTATGATCACGTGAACCATGAGAGATGTGTGTAATGTTTTTGTTACTGTGTTTTTCTGGGACAGGTCTCGCTGTGCTGCGTAGGCAACCTCAGACTCCTAGGCTCAGCTGTCCTCCTGCTTCCCCTTTCCAAGTAGGTGTGCCGCAGCTCCTGGCTTACGATTAAAGGCTTATATTTAAAAGCAAAGATCACTGAGCCAGTTGCAGTGACACACACCTGTAATCTCAGCTGTGTAGGGAAACCCTGCCTCAAAAACATTTTAAACATGATGTGGGGCTCTCTCTTACCTATACAGCACTTTCCTGGCGTTCGCAAGGCCTTAGGTTCAATCACTAGTACCTCAAAAGCAAGTAGAAAACAAAGACCGCCAGCTTTCCGCTTCCCTAGTCAGTTACGCTTAGAAGCTGCAGGCTGAAGAGTAACCTGTTTTATGTTCGTATCCTCAGAGAACTCCGCCTTAAAAGATCTCTGCAGTTTTTATTCCCTGTACCCTTCATTTTTCACAGCAGTTAGCAAAACGTTTCAGACTTTTTTTTTATGGTACAGAGTTAGTTTAATTACTTCAGTCGTTTTTTTTTTTTTTTTTTTTTTTTGGTACTGGGAATCGAATTCAGGACCTTGCACTTGCCAGGCAGGCGCTTGTGCCGCTGAGCTATATCCCTGCCTAATTAATGCATTGTATTGCTGTTCGATTTCTTCAGTCTTAGCCCTGAAACTGCCCACTTTGTTAGCAGTCTTTTATTATGTTGGTTTTTATATAATCTAATCAAAAGCATTGCATAGCACTTGCGAATTATAAGTATTGGGATTTTTTTAAACCTCTAAGTGTTAAGCTACCTAATTATATAAAATTACATTTTTTAGCTATTAATGCCCTAAAAGTAATTGCTACCATTAATTATCTACTGTATGTCAGTGAACATGCTAGGCAGCTCTGTTTTACAAGCGCGGGAGCTGAGACTTAGGGAGGATGAGTAATTCCCGAGACGGCGCTGTAGGCGAGACCTGATCTGAACTCAAGTCTGCCTGATACCAAACCCGGTGCTCCTGAGACAGTAGTAGTACTACAGTTCTATAAAATTCTGCTGTAAAATTTTTGTTAAAAACTATAACCCCGTAAAAAAGTTGTGTCCCTGCCTTTTGCGTATCACTGTCATTCTGATTGGTATTAGCTAGTTGGGAAGTGTTCTAGTTTAGGCTTTTGGGTTTTGTTTTGTTTAGTTTTTTGCCCTCCTCAGTACTGAGGATTGAACCCGCTGAGCTACATCCGCACACCTTTTTATATTTTATTTTGAGACAGGGGCTTGCTAAGTTGTGCGAGCTGAATTTGAACTTGAGATCCTTCTGCCTCACCTTTCCAGAGTGCTGGGGTTACAAGCGTGCAGTACCATGCCCAGCGTATTCTAGACTTCCCTGAGATTTATTTTTACTTAATAATTGTGATTTGCCTGATTTTACTTTTAAAGCATGGACCAAAAGGAATCTAGAAATGTTAACGTATTTACTCACATGGAAAGTTAATTTGTAATATATTCTGGGAAGAAGGCAGATTACAAAACTTTGACATGAGCCCTTAAAAAAAAGGCAGTGAAGACAAATGGTAGTTGTAGATCATGGCTATCCTTAGAATCAGTTGGGAAGATACCGCAAAATTTTTGTTATAAATTTTTAAAAGTTGTAGCAATTACTCGTAAATCAGAATTGTTTTATTTTCCCTTGATTTAACTCAGTAGTGTTTTATTATTGTATTTCAAATCCGTAACATACATACCATTAGAGACTTTTATATCTCTTAATCATGAAAGTCTGACACCTTAAAGGTTTTTGAACATTTTTAGTATTTTAAACATCTTAATTATAAGGAAGCAGATAATCTAATCTAATTTTTTTGTAATGCATAAGTTTTTTCTGCCTTCCAGGAGCTACAGCGTACTAAGCAAGAAGTCCTTTCTTTGCGAAGAGAGAATTGTACACTAGATGCTGAATGTCATGAGAAAGAAAAGCATATTAATCAGCTACAAACAAAAGTGGCAGTTTTAGAACAAGAAATTAAGGATAAAGACCAGCTTGTTGTGAGAACAAAAGAAGCATTTGATACAATCCAGGAACAAAAGGTCTTTAAAATTTTTCCAAACAAACTGATGGTCACGTTTTGTGATGCTTTCATAAACAAATACACATGCCCTAATTATTCATGTTTTTACGAATATATCAGGTGGCATTAGAAGAGAATGGTGAGAAAAATCAGGTTCAACTGGGAAAACTTGAAGCCACAATAAAATCATTATCAGCAGAACTTCTGAAGGTTTGTTTAAACATTTAGTAGTCTATGACTATTTCATTAGATCTATAGAGATACACATATGAGACTCTTTTCCAGGCAAATGAAATTATCAAAAAGTTGCAAGGGGATCTGAAAACTGTGATGGGTAAGTTGAAATTGAAGAATACAGTTACTATTCAGCAAGAAAAACTGTTGGCTGAGAAGGAGGAAAAGTTACAAAAGGAGCAAAAGGAATTACAGGACATTGGACAGTCTCTCCGAGCTAAAGAGCAAGAGGTAGTTAAAATTGTCTTTTTTTGTGTTCTGACTCTTGTGTACATTATGTCAAGCTTCCTCAGATGTAGTTTTCAAAATTCTGCTTTGTGGTTGGTATTACAGAATAGCTTTGGGCAGTTTTTTTAAAGCACAATTAGTCAAGAAAGTTAACCTACTTTACTTTGACAAGTTGGTTATCATGACTCAGATACTTAGATTGCTGATATTTGTACAGAATGTACATATTTCATTACATAGTTGGACTTATTCCTTTATCTACATTTAATACTATTAGTAGCAGTCATTCATTAAGTTAATTAATAGTAATGCATTTCTTCAGTTTTTATTTTAGCCTGTAGTTGACTTATTCTGAGAATTGATATATTTCAGGTATGCAGATTACAAGAACAGTTAGAAGCCACAGTTCAAAAACTTGAAGAAAGTAAACAACTTCTAAAAAACAATGAGAAGTGTAAGTATTTTATATTTTTATGTGAATGAGGCTTGTAGTTTTATTCTTAGCATGTAATTACTGAGTCCACAAAAGTAGAGGTCAGTCCAGATACTGCTAAGTGCAAATAAGTTCTGCTTTAAATGTCTGTCTCTGCTACAGTAAATTGCATCATACACCCTGTAGAAGTTATTGTCATAAAGGAAACTTATGTGTCAGTAACATAAAATTAAAAGTACTGTTAACCTGATAGTAATATGAGTTATTTGAAATGAAAATACAAAATTAATTTTTTAACTTAACATGTTTTCATTTCCTAGGACAAGTTATCAGACATGAAATTGTGAGCTTTAAATAAGCTGCATTATACACCTTTAAATAAGATAGCGTTATACAAGTAAAAACTTGCAAGGAGATTTTTAAGGGGGGTGTGGTGGTGCATGTCTATGGTCCAGGACTTAGGAGAGAAAGGCTGAGAATTGCCAGTTCAAGGACAGCCTGAGACACATAGTGAGACCCTATTTTAAAAAGAAAAAAGAAAGAACTGTGTGCTAACAGTAGTAGAAGAAGGAGTCCCATGTTGGCAGTTGTTAAAATGAGAATCTTTAAGTATAAGAATTTAGTGACCTCTACTATTGAACTATAATATAAGGCAGTTGTAAAAACTGGACATTTAAAAAGCTTAATCAAATTTCAGACATTTAAAATGATTATAAAAATAAAAACAAGTCAGAATCTTTTCTTGTCTTCTTATGTTAGTAATCACGTGGTTAAATAAAGAATTAAATGAAAATCAGCTTGTGAGAAAGCAAGATGTATTGGGGCCTTCCCCCACTCCGCCTGCACATTCCAGCAGCAACGCGGTCAGAAGTGGAATTTCTCCTAACCTGAATATGGTAAGATTTCAAATAAGATCTGGGTTTAAAAAAAAGATGAGAGTGACATTAACAAATTTCTTGAAACAAAAATATTCTCAGATTTGTAGGAAGTCCGTGACTAGACTGGAAACCTGATAGTGCTTAGCAATGAAGCAGAGTGTGAGTGGCCCGTAAATAAGCAGTCTCACTCTGACAGAGCAGCCGTATTTCAAGGGCACGCTTTCGTGTAAAGGCTTACTGGGTACAGAAATCATTCCGGACTCATTAAAGTAATGCTGAATGTGCTGCAAAACTTTAAAACACGTGCGCATGTGCACAAATACACAAAAACCAGAAGACTTCAGGAAGAGAGAAGTGAGGGTTAGGCCTCCCGTGTGCAGCGAAGAAAGCCTAGCCGAATTCTGCCGGGGACGGGGAGGCGTCTGTTAGTGGCCGTGTCGGCTCCGAGTCTCATGAGCTGCTTGTGCGCCGTGAGCCCTGTGGCTCGTAAGCCCGGGTCATTTGAGTCTTCTTGCCAGGAGTCAGGGAAGAACACAAAACGCACTTCTTGCGTCTGGAGTGGCCTGGTATTATCCGGCGGCCAGGCTGGGAGCCCCTAGGACTGTGCCTCATCTTACTCGGGCGCTCCTGAGGTCACTGCACAGCCGTGATGACTCAAGATAAGAACAAAACCGCTGTGTGATTAACTATGTTTGAACATAGGCGAAAGTATGCACATTGCCGAACCACAAAAATTGCCAAGTACCCTTCTGTTCTGGCCGACGCGAGTGGCTGCTGCTGCTTCAACCAGGTATAGCTTTGGCCTGAACATGTGCCTCCTGCCCGATTTAGGTACTCTGCCGAGCTTTTGTCCTTCTTCCCGAGAGCGTCTAGTCCACGGCGATGTCTCAGTTTCTTAAATTTCTTCGCAGGTGGTCAGACATGTCTAAATCTAATCAGTAGTTTCCTTTGACATTTCCTGAGACACGTCCACGGTTCCCGTGTGCAGTCCCCTTCCACTGCAAGGAGCAGTAAAGCCAGCTTCTGCACTGCAGATGTACCTGGTATACTTCGGCGGAGGGCATTGCAGAGAGTGTAAATTCCAAACGCCTGGTTGAAAAATGTTCACACCCAGCTGTGTAGCTGCATGCCCAGTTCTTTGTAGTTTTTCTTTTTCTTTGGAGACAGGGTCTCTCTCAGTTGCCCAATCTCAAAGGACTCCTGCCTTGAGCTCACCAAATGGTAGGATTACGGGCATGTGACAACCTGCCTAGTGGCCTGACTGAATTTTTAATCTACTCGGTTGTATATACTGTATGTCTAAAAAAGGAAGAGAGTTGCTACTAGATGAGAAAATGGTACAGAATAATAGTGCCTGAGGCTGAAATAGAAACTTGAAAAACGTTACAGGCTTAGCCTGAATGATGATACCGAGCGGGTGAAGGATGCCTGCCCTGCACAGCCGCATGTGTGCACGACTGCTTCGTAAGGCCCGTGTTCCCCGTGGCCTCCTGCTGTGATAAACTGCGCTTTGACATTGGCGGTGCTGCTGAAGTGGAAGTTAGTGCCAGGCAAATCGTTGTCTGAATTAGAGCACTCACCTAGCTGGGACTGGTGGTGCGCGCTTGCGGAGCGCCTGGGAGCTGAGGCCAGCCTGGGCTGCGTAGCGATCTCGGGCCCAGCCTGAGCTGCCTGGTGAGGTTCTGACTGGGAACAAAGAAGCACGCTGATCTTACTCTTTGCTTTTTTTTTTTTATTTTAAGGAGAACTAAAAGAAAAATGATACAGAATTTCACAACAAGATGATAAAAATTAACAAAGGTTGTTATATTGCATATTATTACCTTCAAAATAGTTGCTCAGATTACCAGAGATAGGCATGTAAAATTGATCAAACAGTATTCCTGTCAATGAACTAACAGAAATTACGGGTGGGACTATCTTAGCTATCTTTTACATTTATAAATATATATACTCCTTGTATATAATTCCGATACTAGAGAGATATATATATTCCTCCTTCCTTCTTCCCCCTCTCCCCATCCCAGTTGTTCTTCCTTTGAGCCGTTTCCTTCCCTGTCACGGTATCTGTTGCACCGTGTGGATCTTGCTAACTCTTCCAGTAATCTTGTTCTTTCCAGTCTAGCAGCAGCTTATTTGTGTTTATCTCCGACTGTGCTGCTGATGTGACCCCTGCTCTCCACCGCACTGTCCTTGTCGGGAAACCCGGTGAGATGAGCTGGCTCAGCAATCGTGTTGTCGCTGAGCTCACACCCGTCTCCGGGAGGGGCTTGCACGGCCACTCTCCGTGCCCTTGGCCCCGCGGAGACCTGTCTCGGCCTCACATGAAGTGCTAAAGCAGGGTTTTGTGGTGTCCTAGAAACAAAATCAGCTCCTGAGATAGTGCTCCAAGCTGTTCATTGTTATAACAAATGCTAATGCCTTCTAGATCAGCAGGTACTATTTAGAATGATTTCTCATGCTTAATGTTTTTAAATGTTTCCATTTTTAGATTGATAACAGACTTGCTTACCCCAGCTGTGGGATTGGCTATCCCGTCTCCTCTGCATTTGCATTCCAAAATACCTTTTCTCACCCGGTACCTACCAAAAATGCCATCCACCCAGTTTCAGCACCAAAGGTAAACAAATTACTACTTTTTATTTTAATATGGAAATTTATTAGCTTGTAAATATTTGTACCTTTAAAATGTTCATTCATTTTTTGTTAGTTTCTAAGTATTAATGTATTAGATGAATGTTACTGAATAGCTAGTATATAGCATGTTTACAAAAGGTACGTGCACTTTTATGTTTTTTGAGTCATAATCAATAAGACTACAATCAATCTGCTTAAACTTTATTCCTATTGAACCTTTCTATTTTTCCTCATTCTTTTAAATGTACAAGCCTAACTAGGATTACTGACTTCATAATACTGGCATATTGGATGCAGTAAGACTTTAGGATTCTGTTACCGGCACTCAGAGGTCTATAAGGCAGGCTGGCTTATACCAGCTTCTGAACTGGTATAAGTTCTGTAGTTCCGCTGACATCTCAGTATGTAACAAACAGTCCTTCCAGCCCTTGATTTAATTGCTGACGCTTTTTCTTCCTACTTAAGTCATTGTCAGTATAATAATTATTATTATTATTGTCTTAGATTTATATATATATATATATGTATTAAAGAGAATAAAATTAAAAAACAAAACAATACAAAATTTCAAAACAAGATGATAGGAAATCAACAGTGGTTGTTATATTGCATATTGTTATCTCCTGAGTAGTTGTTCAGATTATCAGATATAGGCATGCAAAACTGATCAAACAACTAAGCAATAACTGTTCCTTTCAGTAAAGCAACAGAAATTAGTAGTACAGTTATCTTAGCTATCGTTTTTTTTTATACTGGGAATTGAACTCAGGACCTCACGCTTGCCAGGCAGGCACTGTGCCACTGAGCTGTATCTCCGGTCCCTATCTTAGCTGTCTTA